CATAGTGTAGGAAAATTATTTTGTTGTAGTCCATTTAGTACATGATTAGAGTATCACCTTGTAGGGTATAAGAAAACTCCAATTTTTTTGTTATTTGTGTACTATGCAATAATACGAATTGGTATGGGAAGTCTTAAGAAGATTTCTGATAATGAGGAAGATTAACTCTGAATAAAATCTCAAAAAAAAAATCATTCTAGGAAGCCTCGTGAGAGTTCTGACACCCCTACTAGCCTAACCAGCCTAGCAAGTCTAGGTTTAGAAACACCTAGAGTTTAGGGTATAAAATTTATAATTTAAGGGAGTAGATTTAAGGGATCCAATAGACTTTGGATGAGTTAAGATAGTGGCATTAGGGAATGAGCCATAAATAGACAACATTTTCTACCAACAATAATGACCATTACAATGCTTTACATAGTTTAACTCAATCCTTACACAAATGTTTTAGAACTATTAAATCAATCTTGGCTAAAATCTAGTGTATCTCTGTACAAGTCATTCTTTCCCACCTTATAGTGGCCCTTGCTTGTCAGCAACAATAAAAGAAGAAGAAGAATAGAAGGGGAGTGTTATTTTTATTTTTTTTATTATGCTTGTTTCATTTTAGAGTCTGGGAGGTGGGTTTTAAAATTTATTATATTATATCTATATTTATAAAATTTATCCTTGTTATTATCCTTTATCTTGATGTGTGTGTAATATTATTTAAATTAATTTGTCTCATTTTTTTGTTTAACTCTAACTTCAAATTTGATAGTATCTGGATAATAATTTAGTATTGAAAAGAGTAACAAATTGAATAATAATGTAGGAGAATGCTAATTGAATAATAAAAATATTAAATACACTTTATGTTATACTAATTTTGACTAGAAAAAGTAAATGAAAGGACTAATGTGAATTCTAAATTAGTTAGATGTACTTAACTAACAAATGTGTTATGTACAAAAAAGAAAAGAAAAAATAAAATAAATAATGAAAATTAAAAAATAAAGAAAAAATAAAAAAATAGAAGCTAAGTACTTACAATAAAAAAATTATATTTTTTCTACTTCTTCATTTATCTTGTGGAGTCATAAGAAGTTCAAACCTAAGGAAAATTAATGGAGTTTTGAGATATTAAGAAAACCAAGTTATGCCTATTTATAATAAATAAGTTTAAAAATTCTAAAAAATTGAATTAATTAAAACCTATTAAATTCATATGTTTAATTTTGAATGGATATCAAAAAATATAAAAGGTTAGATATTAGTTCTTATGTCGAGTTTTTTATTTTGTTAGTACTTAATTAACCAAATTGATCTGTAAAAAATGGAAAAGTCTTCATAGTGTATGACTTCCAATCATACTATATGTTGGCTGAGTCAAACTCCATTAATGATAAGCATTGAGGCAATCAAAAATTCAAAGATCATATCATATAATAAAAATCATAATGGACAATTTGATTAAGTAAATTAGTAAACCATTAGTTGATTTAGTTACATATGATCAAACTAGATGATCCATGATCATATTGTACGATTGGATAAAATCTATAAATAAGGAGAAATTCTTCTGTTCATTCCACATCTTCTTCACTTCATCCTTACAACCTTGTGTGAAAAATGTTTCTAACTCCCATTGTAAGCAAGAGGTCCCAAACACTAAGTTGATCATCTTGCAAATAAAGAGATTAGTGGTTTATAACTAATGAGGATGTTGAGGCATATCTGATAAGTGAAAAAATGAAAAATCTAAATTATTCATTTTTTTTATTAAAATACCTATAAAAAATTTATTTTTTTTGTTCATGAATGAAGCGAATAATCTAAAATTAATGGAACATCGTGCGCTATAGATAGAATGCCATAGTACTATGCTCATCTTTAACACCAGAGCACTAGAAGTAAGCAATATAATGGTAAAGGATAAAGAGCATTGCACCAGAGAGCCTAAGGAGTGTTTGTGGAATTTTTTTTAATATGTTTGTATATGTTTTACTATAAAAATGCTTCTTTTGATTATTGTCGTGCAAGAAATTTCAAGAAAAATGGCAAAAATTTATAAAACAAACACTACACCACTGTGCCATATAATAAAAAAACCATAGCTCTCTCATTACCATACGGTAATTTTAGCCCTAGGGAAGAAAATGATGGTGCTCTCTTCTTTATATTTTTGAAAAATAATTCAGTATCAAAATATCGATCGAGTACTGTAGTGCCCTGGATACATCTACACCATAGTGCCAAATCACCCCAACTTCAAAACATTACAGTTGAGATGGTTACATGGTGAAATATTAAGTCGATTAAGATCCATTACTGCAATAGAGTGGTTCAAAAACACCATAGTAGTACTTCTCTTTTTCAGCGTTGCAGAATTAGTGCCAGCTGGGTTATTTAATATAAATAGTTTTTTGGCCAAATTTGTGAGGACTAGCCATTTGTTTATTATGCAAAATAGTGTGTGAGAGTTAGTGGATAGCAAGTTAGAGGGAGTGCTTAAGGGAAAACCATTTGGAGATGGGAAAGTGTTTGTAATCAATTATAAAGTGCTTCCTGGGTGTTATCTTCCTTTCTTTTGTATTTGGTTTTAATTATTTAAATGAAAACTTTTTTGTGCATTTTATGAACTATGGCTAGCTAATTTATCTCTTCTTGACTTTTGATGAGTAAGAAGGCATGATTACTTAAGTAGTATGGAGTTCTTGTAATGTTCAATGTTGTTTCCAATTCTCTTCCACTTAATTTTGTTATTACATCGGTCATGCTCTACATTAAAACCTAGTGTGAATTTTCGACTTAATAAAGGAATAATTGAAAAAATAGGAGAATTGAATTGAAACAATACCATGCATAGACATATAATTGGTAGGATTTTGGATTCCAAGGAGAAATAATAAATGTAGTATAGTGATAACTTTACTTGAAACCCTTACAAGCTCGATAAAGATTTTAGAGTGAATTTACTCTAATTCACTACATATATTAGAGGAGTCAAACTTAAGTAAACACGAACATCGTCATCATCATAGGTTCAAAACACTTTCATTTATTACACTTTTTATTCAAGATTTGTAATTATAACTTTATAAAACTATCTTTCATTCAAATTTGTAAGATAAACCTTATTATTCAAATAGATAGTAGTAGGGTAGCTATAAGGTTGTTTAATTTCTCTTGGGATTGGCACTTAATTTACCTATTTATTACTTGAACATCACTTGCACTTTTGTATAATTTAGTCTTGCTTATTTTAAATCTACCATATTTTTACTACAAGATTTGCTAAAAAAGCTATGAAGGAGCAGAATAGTTCAGATCAAGCACTATAGAGCCAAATCACTATAGTGCCTTCATAGGTGATAGTTTTTAATAGTTGAGCCAGTGCATAGATGAGACAAGTGATGAAATTGAATGATGATTCAATAGCATCGCAACGCTTCCTATGTCAGTATTGTGATGTAAGTTCAACTATTTGTAAAGCTATATATAGGAAGCTTATTTCTTATGTTATGGTTATTAATGGGGGGAAGAGTTATTGTTGGTTAGGGGGATGTTGTGGTGAATTATTGTTTATAAACTAGTGAGGGAGATTGAGGGAGAGCAAGCGTAGAAACTGAAGACCAAGGGAAGGAGAGTAAGTTTTTGTAAACAACTTCCTAGTACTATCTTTCCTTAATTTACCACTTGTATTTTTTTTTTAAATGAATGGCATTTTATTTTATTTTATTTTATTTTTACAACTAGATAAATCTATCTTTGGCCTTATGATACATCAAAAACATTATTCTATTAAGATTACATTTGAATTGCATGAAATTTTTAATGTTATTTTTTGTTTCTTAGTCATTAATTTAGTTTATGTATATAATTGCATTAACTTAAAATATAGTGTGATCTAAAGTCTTGATGCCGGAATGGTTTAATAGTTAGGGGATTTAAAAAGAGATTCGATCATGCATTGACATATGGTGGATATAGTTTTGGAATCTTAAGAAAATATAATCACTATAATTGAGAGAAATCTTAGCTAGACACTCTTATAAGCTCAACATCGATCAGTAATATTTATGCTCTAATTCATAAAAATATTTATATAGAACTAACTTTTGTACTCATGAATTTTTAATTAATACAGGATCATAGTCCCTTAAAAATAAGATTATAAATTTCACGATTTAGTTGATAGTTTTCATTGGCACAACCTTAATATTCTATTAATAAGATAAAAGGGGTGATTTACAAAAGTAGTATAAGAGTGAGATTAGGGTAATTCCTTTCCTCATGGGAATGATATATTTTATATTTTACATGAAACATGCACTTTCATAAAATAAAAATTACACATTTTAGTATGTTTTGAAGTATAATAGTGGTTTGTCATGTTTTTGGCACCATAGCTAGGGATTGGACATTTATCTTTTCCTTCACTTCACATTATTCAAAAAATTATTAATTCAATATTATCATTATCTTTATTTATCTTGTTCTATGTTGGTACTATAGGTATTATTATTATAGTAGTGCGTTATTATATTGCAAATCAATTAATTGTGTTGGATTTACATTTTCATGAAGTGATTATTTTTGTTATATGCATAGTAGAGACCAACTAGGAGAAATTCTATTTGATTTTGAGATGGAAAAACCTTGAAAAAAATTTAAGAAATCTAAAAATTAGCACAAATAATTAGAGATGTTTGACCTAGTGCATGAATAGAACCAACCTAGACCATTTAGAGAGTATGTCAATCCAAAGGTAGAAAGTATTCATCAAAAGCATTAACAAGCGCAAAATCTAAACTTTTTATTTTTATTTTGCTAAAGCCTTGTATCATTCAAATTGTACAAACTTACCTAATGATTCTATCAGTCTTAGATTATTTTAGTTCTCCTTAAGGAACAATGTTAATATGTTGTTAAACTCCTTCCTCGTAGGCATAATTTTCATATGGAATGATTTAGCCCATAAGCTCATATCCAAGTATTTCCCTCATTCTAAAACTATAAAATTTAGTAATGACATCACTTCATTCACTCATTATATGGAGTATAAATATATAAATTTTGGGAGAAATTTAAGGAAATGCTTAGGAAGTGCCCACACCATGATTTACCTAGTTGGATTATCATTCAAACTTTTACAATGGACTTGTAAGATCTCTAAAATTATAATTGATGCTAGTACTCGAGGTTCTTTACTATAAAAATTCTTCAATGAAACATTTTATTTCATTGAAAAAAATTCAAACCAATAACTTCTAATGGCCTTCAAAAAGAGTAAACCCTAGAAAGGTAGCTAGTCTGTATAAATTTGATGCCTTATCAAGTTTGTGTGCCCAAGTAGCTATTATCTCTTAACAATTAGATAATTTTAGAAATAGAAAATCTCAAGGTATATACCCATGTCAGTAGAGGATAATATCTTTGAACCATCTAGTTATCTACACTCATAAGGGATTGAATCCTTAAATGTCATTAATAAAAAAAAACCAAATAAACCTTACTCTAACACTTAAAATCTTGGTTGAAAGAACCACCCTAATTTTTAATTTAATAATACATATAATTTGGGTAATCATTGGAATTCAAACCAACTAAACTCTAGAGGAAATTAGAAACCACCTAAAATTTTTTTGAAACCCTTAGGCCTAATTATTCCTATATGTTTAATACTAATAACTAAATTAAGGATAAGAAGCCTTATCAGGAATACCTGATTTTACAAAAGAGGACCCAGTTAAAGAGTTAAGCTATTGCAATAAGAAAATATTAAAAATCAATTATGTCAGTTAATTAGATTCATAAATAATAAACCCTAAGGAGCCTTGCCTAATAATATAGAAGTAAATTCTAGGGAAAATGGTAAGGAGAATTATAAAGCCATTCAATTGAGGAGTTGGAGAGAGCAAAAAGAAGTAGTTAGGAATAAGGATCGAATTGAGGAAGAGATATTTGTATAAGCACCTTTAGAACCCACTTATCCTAAAGAATAAACTCAACTTAATAACTAAGTAGAAATTTTTATTTGAAAGATTCTTAAGAGACTGCCACCACTTTTAACATTCCATTTTTTGAAGCCCTAATGGAGATGCCTACTTACGCTAAAAACATGAAAAATATTGATTAAACTATGAGAATTTTAAATTATTGTCCTGATTGAGGAATTTAGTGAAATCCTATATAATAAACTCCAAAAAAGCTTAGGAACCTAGGACGTTATACCATTCCTATGGCTATAAGGGATAAATTTATGTCGGAAGATATTATGTGACTGAGGAGCTAGTATAAATCTCATACCCTTGTCCATATTAAAGAAACTTAACCTAGGAGATGTTCAGCTACCACAATTACCTTTTTTTTTTTGAAGATGCAAATAGCAATTGGCAATAAAAAGATAGAAGATATTACAAACTACTAAATAAATGCATCACATTCCTTCTTTAGTAATAAACTAAAAGAAGAAGGAATGTTAGGATAATTAAAGCTATCCCAACAAAAATTACTAGATAAAGCAAATGTGGTACACCAATCCGCCACATTATTACAACTTCTAGGGCTAGAATGAAATAAAACATTATTAAAGCCATGTAAAAATTGAAGATCCTTATTCCAGAAGCTCTCTTTCTCCCAATTTGACTCCTTCTTCGAATCACAAATGAATTTGATAATACTTACATTATCACTTTCCACAACCACACCTTCATATTCAAATAGCCAATCTTGAAGAACTTCTCTAATGGAGAGCACCGATTGCATTTCCAATTGGGAAATATCCTAATGATTAAGTTAGTTACCAAAAGCCAATAAGAATCTTCCTTTTACATCTCTAATAACTCCTCCAATCCCTCCATGATTAGAATTTTGTAAGGAGGCATCAACATTTATCTTAATCCATCCTAGTGGAGGGGGATGTTAGAAATTAACAAACTCCTGATGGAGGCTAACATTCCAATCTTCTAGTGATGGATTAACCTGAGGTTGCATAGCTGTAAATAATGCATTCGCTGCAGTTGTAGAAACAGAACTTGCCTTCTCTCCATTCTTTATTGCATTCTGATATTTCCAAGAGAAATATACCACAGTCATATGCAACCGTACCATGGTCAGATTTTTGAAATATAGCCTTCTTAGTTCCATAATACCTTCCTCCAATGAATGAAAGATAGGAACATTGAAACCCCATTCTCTGAATTTCATAATTACCTCCACAAGAAATTTACACCTCATAGTAATATGAGAACATTCTCAATATCATCACATCCTCTAGCACAGGATATAACCTCACCAAATTTTCTGTAATGCAAAAAATTCATTGGTAGGTATTGCATTTTTACTTAATCTCCACCAAAAACAATAAATTTTTTGTTTTAATTTCAGCTTTAGAATCCATTCCACCAATTCAACATTATCTCCTATTGAATTATTTTCCATTTTAGTAGTAGAAGCCAGATAAGAAATAGATTTACCCAAATAATGATGCATTAATAGTTACCCTTTTGTTAGAAGATCATTCTTCCACTTATCCATGGGGGTTGATAGTGGATATGTTAGGCAAGGTGGATAACATTTTCTTCCTTGTTGACTTTATTGTCTTAGATATGGAGGTAAATAAGGAAATACCTATCATCTTTGGATGACCTTTCCTTATCACAAGGAGGGCTATGGTTGATGTGAAGAAGGGAGAGTTGACCATGAGTGTTCAAGAAAAAGAAGTTACCTTTTATGTCCTTAAGACAATGAAGTTTCCAAAGGATCAAAGGGAGCATTTTCAAAGATTAAATTTAGTTTATGATTATGAGGAGGATTTTATGAAGGGGTTATCAATTGTTAATTTTTTTGGAAAGTTCATTGTGTGAGGATAATAAAGGAGTGGTAGATGAAGATTCAATACACATGATTAGTGAAGTCCCAAGAGTGTTTAAAGAGAGGTATAAAATGTTAAATTAATCATCTTTATGGAAACCCTTGAAATCATATGTTGAAGAGGAATCTATTTGTGAGTTAAAAGCATTACCTTCCCACTTAAAGTATTCCATCTTTGGAGAAGAACCAACCTTAGTAGTCTTTATTTCTTTTAAACCAAGAGAAGACAAAAAAGGTAAGTTGATTGTAATTCTTAGCAAATATAAGAAAGCTTTTGCTTGGACTATTACTAATATAAAAGGAATTACTCCATTTTTATTAATGTAAAAGATTCTGATGGAAGAAAAATCTTTTCTAAATATTAACCCCCGAAGAAGATTGAACCCTATAATGAAAAAAAGTGGGAAGAAGGAAATTGTAAAATGATAGGATGTAAGTATCATTTATTCCATTTTAGATAATGCTCTGGTGAGTCCAATTCATTATGTCCCAAAGAAAGGAGGCATAACTGTTATGGCTAATGAGATAATTTTGTTGATACCCACCACGATGGTTACAAGTTGGAGGATATGCATAGTTATAGGAAGTTGAACAAAGCTATATAGACTGCTAATTTTCTTTTCCCTTTATTGATCAGATGTTAAACAGGTTAGTAGGGCACCCTTTTACTATTTTTAAGATGGTTATTATGATAACCATCAGATTCCTATACATCCAAAGGCCAAGACTAAATTACATTCAGTAGTCTTTATGGTACCTTTGCATGTATTAAGATATATTTTGGATTATATAATGCCCCTGCAACAATTAAATGGAGCAAGATATCAATCTCATCAAATTTAATAGAGCATAAAATTGAAATATTTATGAAAGATTTTCTAGCTCTGAAACAAAATTTGATGTTTGTTTAGAACATTTAGAAAACATTTTGAAGATATGCAATGAAACTACCTTGTTCTTAATTGGAAATTTTTCTAGTTTCCTATTAAGGAATGTATTGTCCTTAGACATAAAATCTCTGAGAGGGGTTTGGAGGTTGATAATTTGAAGATCAAGGTGATTGAGAATATTTTACCTACTACTTCTATAAAGGTAGTGTAAAATTTTTTAGGCCATGATGTTTTTATAAATGATTTACAAAAGTTTTATCTAAAATTATGAAACCCTTATGGTATTTACTGTAGAAGTATGTCCCATTTAAATTAAATTCAAAATGTTAAACTTCATTTGAAAAACTTAAGAAGTGATTATTTATCACATCTATCATCATTTCACCTAAATGGTCATTAAATTTCAAATTTATGTGTGATGCGGGTGACTTTGCCACTAGATTAGTTTTAGGATAATGTATAGAAAACAAGTTTAATGTTATAGATTATGCTAGTAGTGTATTCAATAATACATAATTAAATTATAAAATAATAGAGAAATAAATGTGAGCAAAGTATTTAAATTTGATAAATTTAGATCATATTTAATTTGTGAAAAAATTATTATTTTCACCGATCGTTATGCTATCAAATAACTCTTAACTAAACAGATGCTAAACCTGCTTATGAAGTTTGATGTAGAGAATTAAGATATTGAAGGTTCTAAGAATATGGTGGTCAATCATCTATCTTGATTAAAGAGGGAGGGTTCTACTCATAAGAATTTTTACATTAATAAATGCTTCCCTTATGAAAATTTATTTGTATTGCTTTCATAATGTGTGTCATGGCATGCTAACATTTTGAACTACATTGTATGTGGAATGTTCCCATTTGATATGTTATATAGCTAAGGTTGTAAAAAATTTACATGATGCCAATTCTATTTTTGGAGTGAGACATATTTATATATTAGATGTAAAGATCAAATCATTAGGAGGTGTGTCCTAAATGAGGAGATTGAAACCATCATTAGACACTACCATGATTTATAGTGTGGAAGGAATTTTAGAGGACTTTGAACCACTTCTAAGATCCTTCAATCTAGATTTTACTATCCTACCTTAATTATGTAAGTGATTTTGTCAAAAGTGTGATAGATGCCAATGAGTAGGAAATATTTTAAATAGATATAAAATACTCCATAATTATCTTGTCAAAGTTAAGATCCTTGATATTTGGGGGCTAGACTTCATGTGCCTTTTTGTTCAATCTTTTTAGAATAAATATATATTGATAGTAGTTAACTATATCTCCAAGTAGATTGAGACAATGCAAAAACTAGAGCTGATGCTTAGATAGTGATTAATTTTTTTTTAA